CGTTACGCTGTTAGCCAAGGGCTCCGAGGTGCAATATCTCGCACTACGAAACGCCCTTCTCATTCTGCAAAGACGGCCCGAGGTGCTACGAAACGATATCCGAGTCTTTTTCTGCAAATACAACGACCCCATCTACGTAAAGGTCACCAAGCTGGAACTGATCTTCATGCTAGCCAACGAGAAGAACATTGACGAGGTTCTTACTGAGCTGAGAGAATATGCCACGGAAATCGATGTGCACTTTGTACGAAAAGCTGTCCGCGCCATCGGCAAGCTCGCTATCAAGATTGAGCCAGCAGCTCGACGATGTATCGATCTGCTCTTGGAACTTGTGGCGACCAAAGTCACATACATCGTCCAGGAGGCTACAGTGGTGATCCGAAACATCTTCCGCAAATATCCAAACCAATACGAGTCGATCATTGGTACGCTTTGCGAGCACTTGGACTCTCTTGATGAGCCAGAGGCCAAGGCTGCCATGATTTGGGTCATTGGACAGTACGCGGACCGTATTGAAAACAGCGACGCGCTGCTGGAGGATTTCTTATACTCGTTTCAAGAGGAGCCTGTGGAGGTCCAGCTGGCACTTCTTACCGCAACAGTCAAACTTTTCATTCAGAGACCAACCAAGGGCCAGGAGCTGGTACCAAAGGTCCTCAAGTGGGCCACAGAAGAGACAGATAACCCTGATTTGCGTGATCGAGCCTACATGTACTGGCGACTGCTGTCAACCGACATGAACGTAGCAAAGAGTATCGTTATGGGGGAGAAGCCCCCCATTACTGCCGAGTCGGAACGGCTGGAGTCGTCAACGCTGGAAGAAATGTGCCTCAACGTCGGCACTCTGGCAACAGTCTACCTCAAGCCAGTGCAGTCCGTGTTCCGCTCTGCCCGGCCACGAAAGCTGATTGATTCCCCGGCACTGCAGAAGCAGCATCTCGCCAACAACATTGACAACCAGAAGAGCATCAGCATGTTTGGCAACGGCAGCCAGCCCACGAATATCGATCTCAGGACACGCAACGCCGTCGCTTCTCCTACTACCAATGGAGCACCCAACTTGGCACAGGCCGTCAGCGACGCAGATGCGTACTTCTCCAGCATTGGCACGACGCAGATGGCGGCACAGATGGCGGCAATGAGAATAGATGGCGGGGATGACGGCTTTGGAGGAGGGACGGGCTATGTTGTGAATGCCCTTGCGCCGCAGGCTGTGTTGCAGCCAGCTCATGGTGAGGGGAATGGTGACTTGCTGGCCTTGTAGACAAACTGACAACATGACTGGATGGACGAATGGACGGACGGGAAGAATACGAGGCAATGAACAGAGATCCAGAGGGGCATGAGATGAAGCTTGATGTTTTTGTCACTTATAACCATGTATGTGCGCGCTTGTTGGGAGCAGCGTTGTATGATTTTAGGCTCAGGATGTAACTTTTAATATCCCTATACTTTCCAAGTGTCTTTTGTATGAAGTTAAGCCCATATATAATTACCTATATAACGAAGCTTCCACTCTTTGTCATGTCGAACCAACTATCACTCCCCCATACCAAGACGAGAAATGTATAGTATACTGCGACCAGGCCTAGAAAATCCACTCATCGACAAAGGTCGTTTATCTCGCAGACAAGCGCCTTGTGGAGCAACAGAGAACAAGACGCACAGCATTCCAACTCATGTGGGGAATCGAGAGGGCCCTGGAGAAGTTAGCAGAAGCTTGGCGCATTCAATTTGTATGGGTCATTTTGCGGGACTTTGTTTCGTATACTAATGCTGCTTTTGGTGAGGGTTTGGGCTTGTAGGGCTGTTAGAGCGTGCATATATACGTGTACTTTATAATCTATGTGATGTCTCCAATTCCGTATCATCGATATGTAATAACAATGTACATTGTTTTCTGGAGGACATCTCAGATTTGAAATCACTGGATGAAGGGGGGATCGTTATTGTCCAAAAAGGGGAAGATACCGGCTTTGGGTGGTAGATTACCAGACGCCCGTGTCAGCTTACAAGGAGAAATGAAGTGTGACAGGACTTGACAAGAGTGAAAAAGCAAAGCAAGTTTCCCTCGCAGAAATAGCTATGTTTTGCCTCATTCAAAATGAGGATGGGCAGACTTAGTCAATCCATAAGGTTCTCGCTTAGATATCACAGGCGAGCTGGCGTCTCGTCACATTGCGGGAATATCCACAGCACAACCAGCGGTTCTTTCTTTATCAACACCAAATTGCTTACTTGGACTGTAGTATGTAGTATTTGTTTGGTACAGGGGCCTGAGCCTTGTGGGTACATCGTGACCCGGGAGCGACGGCATTGTGCGGAGTTTTAATTTGAAGCTCTTCACACGGAGATTGCAGGCCAGTTTGGCCAATACTACTACGTTGTACAAAGCTCCAAGCAGGTAGGTACCTATACAAGTTATGTTTCTTTATTTCTTTGCCCCCTATCCCAAAATCTGATTAGTATCAGCATTTGACACGGACTGCTTCGTAGCTGAAATTTCTTTTTAGAGTTTATGTGCCTGTCAGACATGCGGTGCTGAGGGTGGCCTGGAAGGAGCTTAGACCTGGCCGTAGATGTTCCTGGTATGGCGTGCACGAGCATGTTTTGTTGGCGTTGGCGCTGAGGTGGCGCCGGCTGGGGATCGTATCGGTCAGAAGCTTGTATTACCTGCCTGTAGTAGAGACCGAGTATGAAGTCTGTTTGCGCAATAGATAACGGGAGATTTGGGCGCCTAGCAAGGGCTCCAACGTAGCGCGGCCTATTGTTAGATGAATTCAAGGCACTAGGCATGGTGTGTTTCAATCTGCATCGCCGCCAGGTCGGCGATATGCCTAGATGAAAGCACTGGTAAATAGTCACAAAGCCGATTGATTAGCTACTCGGCTAGCCCGCGTACGGGATTGCTGCCAGGCACCTACTTGCATGTAGTGCGTCGAGTACTGCGGTGACTCCGCGATCCGTGGTCTGGGTTTATGTACAAGTATCTCGTCGATATCAAACGGATGAAAGCCCTAGTCGTCTCTAAACATGGGAAGAGCCGGGGTGATATCGCCTTGTTTCGTTTTATTTAGTCTTAATTGACAATAACAGGTAATCCGTATTTTGTATATATCTGGATCAGGTTCGAATGCTGTCCTTGCATCGTTTGACAAGTTGGCCCGAGACGGCAAGGGCTTCCCGGCTTAGGGAGATTCAATTCATGGTGTTGGCTGGCGCTGGAAGAATGCATGCTCATGCAGGAAGACGAGGCGGATATGAGTGCTTGTCTGGGCCTAACCTTGGCTATAAGTGAGTGCGTCAGTATGAAGTGTTTTTGCTGCAAGACGAGCCACTAGCCGCCAATAGTTGTACATGCTAGGCCACCGGACCAGCAGTACCGGATGAGAGCCGGCCAATGGACTGCAGTAGCAACCGGCCCGTCCAGATGCGGGTGTGATCTTTGTCTGTAGGTATGCCAGGCATTTGCCTGTATGTGTTGGGCCTATCTTTGGTGTATTTGCAGCAAACTAGTGTGCCAATTTTGTGTGTCGCCAGCATTGGTTAAGGGGCTTGCATGCTCCGTATGGTGCGATCCGAACATTTGTACGACGACAATTTCCCGTAGATTGATTTCAGTATCCAATATAGGCTTCCAAGCCTCATCTTGTTTGCACATAGAGGCACCCACCTGTATCCCGAACTGAAGGCCTCGATCTTACTTGTGCCCAGTAGAGTAAAGAGCAGGCAGATACCCAGAGAGGCAACAAACAAATAGCGCTGGGTTCCTGGCAGCTCGATTGAATCTGATTCGGTCTATCCTCCTGGTCACCGGGCTCTCGTGTTAGTTGCAGAATCGGATCTGCTGCCGCCCGCTGGCTGTTCGTCAGCCGTTGGACTCATTGTTGTTTGTTTGATGGGTAGGCAGATAGCCGTTGTGCAAATTGGGCTAATCCTCCCAGCTCCCTGGAAGGGAATATATCCAGAGCAGATTCCTCCGTACCTGCCTCATCGTCTCTTCGGCCTCTGCCTCTCACCGACTTGGCGGCAGAATTTAGTTCTATCTGTTTTTATTCTAGACACATAAAAACCATCTAGCTTCCATTCCATCAGCAGCATCACCACCTCGGCAGCCTCCATCATTCATTACTCGATTACTCGGAGCACCGGACCACTACTTGGTTCCCCGCGCCGCTGCATACGTCTGTGTGTCTCCATGCGGCCAGTGGTGTGTCTTGTTGGCGCTACACCGACAGGGGTCTGATTACCTGGAACACGAAGTGCCGTACTCATTGGCCTCTCTCGTTCACTCTCGTACCAGCGGCTGATCTCCGTTTGCTCGTTTGAAAAGCACTAGGATTTCTTCCTTCTCTTTTTTCCCAACCCTTGTCTCGGCATCTAGCGCAGCTGAAGGGAAAAAGGGAGAGAAAGATTGAACGAGGCTTACCAGAACCAGGACGCTTCATTTCCACACCAGCCTCTTCCTCCTCCTGTGAGGCGTGCGCTTTTCCGTCTGCATCGGGCAAAGCCTCCCCAAAACAGCACTCTTGATGCTCGGCAGCGCTTTGATTTCGTCTGGTTAGCGCATTCATCGCTCGTTCGCTTTGCATTCTAGTCAGAGGCCCGCTCTTCGTTTCCTCGTCCCCACACCCCCCGTGTCCCCGGAACTTGAAATCTGGGCTGGTCGTTGAGCCGGTTCGTTGATTTGATCTGCCAAGGTTCACTGGGTGGCCTTTCTTCCATCCTTTTTTCCCTTTGACATCCATCCATCTGCGCATCCATAGCCAGTCTCTAACCGGGACTGTTGAATCCACTTTACAGCATCGAAACGTTCGTTAACACGCCGGCACCGCCTTTTTTTTACTTTTTTTTTTCCTTTTACGCGCTCTTCTTAACCACGGATGAATTGAACCGTGTGATACGCTCCTTTGTCGAGATTCGCCAACCCCCTTTGGTGCTGCTGCACCCATCCCGCATTCCTCGCATCGCTTTACGACGGCGAATTTTCCAACTGAAACATGTCGGCTCCTGCGGATTCTACCATGAGCGGTGGCAGCGCTGCTCCTGGTAACGACTCGGGCCTCGATCAACCTACAGATGCTGTACTGATGAAGAATATCCCTCAGACGCCTGAGGCAGGCGACAAACCCAGCGATGAGGCGACTACCGACGCGGCCAAAGACACTCCTGCTGTCGCGACGACATCGGCCGACCCCGTATCGACCGACGATGGCGAAACAACTGCTCCAACTTCATCGTCAAAAGGCAAGGAAGTAGCCAGCGCTCCTGAGCCGATAACCACGCCCAAAGGAGATGTCACGCAGCAAGACACTCCTAAGCAGGACGCCCCTAAAGACGAGTCTTCCATAGAAGAGAAGCCCAAGGAAGAAAAGTCAAAGGAGGACAAGCAGGGAGAGTCAGCTATGGCTATCGGTCCGGCAGAAGAAGAGATTAAAGCTACTGGTTCTGGCGGGGCCGACGGTCCAGTTTGCAACATTACTCTGTTGCTAGCATCTGGGGGCCGACATCCTTATAAGATTGATGCCAAGTACCTCAGCAGGAGGCATGTCGCCATGCCGGATAAGGACGAGAGCGGCAACCCTGATCCATTCAGCATCAGCATCTACACGTTGAAGGAACTAATTCTGCGGGAATGGAGATCTGACTGGGAGGCCAAGCCTGCCAGCCCCAGCAGCATAAGGCTGATTCATTTTGGCAAACTATTAGATGATAAGGAGCAGCTAAAGAGTAAGCATAACCCGCATTCCATTCCTTTTCCTCTATCTGTTTTCAGCTCGTTTTCTTCAGAGGCTCTCTCTTGCATTTGATTTGTTGATTATTTGTTCCAACACTCACACTGCATATAGAGTATCATTTTCTCCCCGATAGCCCCAATGTGGTCCACATGAGCATCCGGCCCCAGGATCTTGATGAGGAGGAACCTAAGAGTGGGAGCAAGAGCCTCCCGTCTGGCGCCACACATGGGGATGGCGCGAGGGAGGGACGTTGCTGCATTATTTTATAAAGCGATAATAGCGTGTGGTGCGAACACCACGTACCATCTCGTCCCTCTGAGCCATTTCTTGATTAGCCTTCGACGGCAATGCATATGATCGATCGGACGACTGCAAGATATGTTTGCATAGACCTTGGTCGCCGAGACGGGTGGTCTGGCTTGAGTGGTTTCTGAATGGCATTCTGGCTTGCTTGAAAGCATTCGCTGGTTCAGATGCAGCTGCGTGTAAGAAAGGCTCGCTGTATCACTTTGACATCACTTTGACATTAATATTCCGTTTCTACAAATTGTTTTTGGAGGAGCGGATTGTTCTATTTGGTTTTTCTTGAAAGTATTTGCCCCCTTTTGTGCGTTTTGTGTTTACTCATTTTCATTTTCGTTTAGCCACTCAGGGAAGCAGCGCGATGGGAATTCAAGAAGCGGAAGAATCTGGGAAAATCGGGGATCATTACCGGCGTATGTTAACATTATTGATTCATGTACAATTGTGGCCTCTGTTTCGGTTCTTTTACACTCCTTATACTTTTCATAATTTCAGAAGGACCCCGTCTCCAGAATGGAGATGGCTGTTGCTATTACAGGATAGAAATGCAGAACATATTACACTACTATTACTACCTTTGACGCCATACTGGCGAAGTCATCGATGTCATCAGTGCTGCGCAGATAGTGATGATGAAGATCTTGTTCTTGGTTTTGTATTTCTTTGTTCTTTGCTGGACTGTTCATATACCTATCTCCTGCAAAATCATCGGGTTGCAGAATCTTGATGTAGTCTCGAAAATCACAATGTCCGTCTCCTTACTAAGAACGGACGTACACACAATGCTCGAGTGACTTGATTTCCTTTTCTATTGCCGTCTCCTATATCGCTATCCACGCCCTCCCCATTTAGTTGATCTTCAGCTTCTTCTCCATCTCATCGTGGATTCCAGGCAGCGCTCTCGACTCTTCTCCGGTGAAGACATCCTCCCATGTAATCATATCCTCTCGCCCTCTCAAAATATCCTCGTGAACGCTAGGAAGACCGCCGCCTAGGGCCATAGGCCGCCACTCGCCCTCGCGAACAATCTTGAGCTCCATGCCCCGGCGGATGGGCTCGGCGATGCCAAAGGTGCGCTTGAGGGACTCCATGCGGACGGCCTCCTGGGTGGCCTCCCAGTTCTTGAGGCGGGCCTCGAGCGGGTGCGTCGAGACGGGCTTGTTGGAGGCGGTGTCAAAGGGCGAGGCGCCGACGCCGTGGCGGAGGGTGTCGTGGATGCCGGGCGCGGAGGGGGCCGAGGAGGAGTGGGAGGCGTGGGAGAAGGTTGTGGGTGCCTGGGAGGCGGGGACGATTCGCATAGACTGAGGAGAATATTGTTAGCTGGGAAGATGGGGAGATGGGGAGTTTGGAGAGGTAGCTGGTTCTCGTCTTACCATGAAGGGCGGTTTTTGTGAGGATTAGATGCCTCGCTAGGGTGGGAGTTGGAGAGGGGAGGAAGGTGCTCGATGCAGCTGGTGCTGGAAAGAAATAGACGATCAAATCTTGTGGCGGCGATTGATACGTGCTAAAGGACGAAGAGACAAGTACAGAGATGTTGTATCAAGTGGGTTGTCGTTGAAGGTTGGTGGTGATGACGGAACGCAGAGCTGCCTCTGGCTCTCTACAGGCGCCTTACCTGAGCGACTCTCCAAGCTATAGGCTCCAAGCAGCCTCGCGTCCACTAAAAGCGCCGCTGCTTGCTGCGAAGGAGGGGTACGTACCTTTTTTCGACGTCGTGCCCCCACTTGCTGGAGTTCGGAGATGCTCCATCCAGTCCAATCCACTGCCAAATACCCTGGACCGATCGCGGAGAAAGCTGGTGTCAACATCAATTCGTTGCATGACGGCGTCGTTGAATTCGATCGACTGTTTTCATTTTTCTTTTCTTGTTCTTTTATTTTATCAAGCTGCGACTCATTTGTGTTTGTTTGGCTTTTGTCTGGTCTTATGGGTACTATCCAATTGGGCCCGTAACATATCATCTACCTTCAACTCTCACTTCAAGTCGTTGGATACATACAATCTCATCTCATGTTCAATTACATGACACAGGATTCAACTTGCACTTGAATATAGATTCGAGCCATGATCAGAAACATCCCGCCCTCGGCGCGATCGCCCATCGTTCGCATCGCCAATGGCACCTTCTACCGGCACCATCCAAATTCCCAACCATCATCTCATGCCAATCCCGCTCTCTTCAAAAATCTCCAGTTTGAGCTGCCGTCATCGTCGCCAGAGCCGCATAATTGGTGCATCGTTGGGCCTTCTTTGTCCGGCAAGACGACATTCTTGCAAGCTCTGAGAGGAAGACTGCTCTGTGAGCCTCCCACAGCGAGATCATACCCATATCTGTCATCAGATGCCGTATCTTCGAGACTGAGAACCCCCAACAAGGCGATTCAGTATGTTGGGTTTGACGCTGAGCAAGCGGGCGGAGGGTTGGGCGGCGCAGTGACAACTTCGGCATACCTCGCTGCGCGGTATGAGTCTCGTAGAGAAATTACTGATTTCTCACTAAGAGACTTCTTGCTGGGCAATACGGAGCTAAATCCCGCCAAATCTCCCGGCCAGGAGAGCCAGGATGAGGGCGGGATATCAATTGAACTGCTGAAGCGCGTTGTCAAGGACCTTAGACTGGAACATCTGCTTGATCTGCCTGTGACGTTCCTGAGTAACGGCCAAGGCAGGAGGGCAAGGATAGCTCGAGCACTTCTGACGAGGCCTGAGGTTTTGCTTCTGGACGAGCCGTTCATGGGACTCGATCCTCCGACGGTGACGGGCTTGAGCCCACTGTTAGAGTCTCTTGCCGAAAAGGCCAATCCGCGACTGGTGCTGAGTGCCAGACCGCAAGATCCTCTCCCGGAATGGATTACACATCTGGTATACCTGAGAATGGACTGCCAGATTGAATCAATGGGACCGAAGGAGGTTGTGCTGGATGGCCTGAAGAAATATATTCAAGGCGTCAAAGTCGGCGGTTTAGCAGAAGATGACAAGTTGCCTATTCATACTTTGGCTGACATTGGGCGAGTTTTATCGAAAGATTCTGCAACTCACAGTCACAACCAAGCGGAATCTTCCTCGACTTCAGCATCGTTCTATTCACAGCAACCTATAAATCCCAATGCTGAGCCTCTGGTTGAAATGGATGGTTGCCAGGTTCGCTACGGTGATAAGATTGCTCTTGGAAACTGGTCACAGAAGACGCCTCAAGGTGACAAGGCTGGCCTGATATGGACTGTTCGGCGAGGTGAACGCTGGGGCGTGTTTGGTCCCAACGGCTCTGGCAAAACAACCATTGTTTCTCTTCTGGGCTCTGACCATCCGCAAACTTACTCGCTACCTATCAAGCTCTTTGGACGAAGCCGTCTACCCGAGCCAGGCTCTGGACAGCGACCGCTCACCTTTTGGGATATTCAATCTCGTATTGGCCATTCCAGCCCGGAAGTTCACCAGCACATGCCGAGGAGCCACACCATTAGACAAGTGGTCGAGAACGCATGGGCAGAGACCTTTGGCGCAAAGCCCAAGCTGGGTGCTGAGGCAAAGGCCAAAGTCGAGGCAGCGCTTAAGTGGTTTGAGCCAGAGCTAAAGCCAAACAGCGCTGCAGGCAGCGAGGGCTTGAAATGGGCCGACGACTACATGTTTGGCGAGATCTCATTTAGTGCTCAGCGCGTGGCGCTCTTCATACGGTCTATGATCAAGGGGCCCGACATTGTCGTCCTGGACGAGTCGTTTAGCGGCATGGACGACGCTGTCCGAGACAAATGCACGCTTTTCCTCACTGATGGAGAGGCAAAGACTTATGCGGGCGAGGAGATTGTGCAGAGCCAGCAAGCCAAGGATGGCACCGTCAAGGTGGAGGGATTGTCGGACCAGCAGGCGCTTATATGCATTGCGCATATTAAGGAGGAGGTTCCGGACTGCGTGAGAGAGTGGGTTTGCTTGCCAGAGGCGAATACGGAGCAGCCGGCGAGGTTTGGGAGACTGGATGGCGCGTTGAGACAGGAGGAGAAGAGATGGAATGAGATTTGGGGATTTTGAAAAGGTGATGTTTGCTGGACTTGCGGAGGTGAAGAATATTTGTACAAATAGGGATAAAATGTAGCTGCTTATGCTTTATGCTGTGAATTATAAACTGCAATAAAGGGTTATAAGATGGCCGCATGTGTCAATCAAGAATACCAGTCTACCGAATTTTCGATTCATTATGACGAAACTGAAATTATTTGAATTTATATGAATACAGATATTGTGCGAATGCATTCTGATATATACCAAGTCTCGTGATGCTAATCACTGGGTTTGTTCATACCTTAAGATGATGCCCGCAGCGGCGTCAGGCACGTGAGCCTCTGCGCCGCTTCCCAACGTCATCCCAGCAAGCCGAACCCCCAAATTCAAGCAACACTTTCTCTTCACATTTCGCAACTCACCGATCACATTTGCATACTGGAACACAAACGGCGATATATTTCTATATGAATGCTTACGAATAATTGATTTGATAGTATACGAAAGGGAGGAAGGGCAAAAAAAAACAACACTCACCATGGCCGACGAAGAAACTCTCACGAGGAGCCACTGCCTGCCATTCATCTCCATTACAGAGCCTATCGAGGTTAGCGAGTTAAGGTATCTTTATCATTCTTTTTAACCTGCTTATCCATCTCTGTATTTGATATACAGATATAACAAGGATTCCACGCGAATTATGGTCTGACAGCCTCTGCAATAGATCGGATGGTTCCACCGACGCTTCTGCGTTTTTCCAATGGCCGTTTCCAAGCCCGCTCTTATTTGAAAATGAGAGCAGCGATGCACGAGATCACTGCGCCAACGAAAGAAGTGAGTTGACCATGGATATTGGCTTTTTTTCCTCTTTGGCAGTATTTTATCGACCTTAAGTCGGAAAACTAATCGCAAATTTAAATCACGGGTAGCCTTCCTTTCGTATCTTCGCCTGTCTATATACATGGCGATTGTGTCCGTCGCCATCACCGTTTCATTCCACATCAAGGGCACACCTAGCGATCTCGAGCGCAGGGTATCGAAGCCCCTCGGGGGAATATTCTGGGTCCTGTCTGTAGTGACTTTAGTCCTAGGCGCGGGGAACTATATAAGTGAGTTGGTGTTGATCTTGCCACCCGGGAGCGACACAAAGAATCTCTCCATAACTGCTGGGTTTCTAACTGCATCTTTTCTTGTCCGCCCTTTTTAGGAACTGTCAACATGTATGGCAAAAGAGCTGCTATTGTGCAATCTGGTTGGAAGACACAAGTAGTAAGTTTCAAGCGTATCTATTTACATATGACTGGGACTGTGTTGGCTCATGCAATGTAGATTTTGGGTTTCATTGCATTTTCTATTATCGGGACGTGCATCATACTTCTTGTTATAGACAAAGTACGCCAAAAATGATACGGACAACATGGACAAATGGTTCCTTTTTTATACCCTTGAGAATATAAAGCTCAATACAAAGCTCTTAATACGTTATACAGATGTTGATTAACTGATTCAAAACAATATGAAATACAAAAAACACATATATGACAACAACTCCGCCATGATAACATCGAATAACTCCAAATTTTCCCACAAATAGTTCGCCATACGCCATGCTCCAACCCAAAGTTTATCTACCATTGGTAGAACAGAACAGATCTCTAGCATACGAATCGTCTGCCGGAACAGACCCTGCCATTTCATCTTTACATCCTCCGATCTGTGTACGGAAGGCTTGCTTATATTTTCCTGCACTCATCGCAATGGCGGCGTCATCAGTGTCTTTGCCATCCCAGGTCAACCACGGCAAGTGGTAAAGGAGCGGCATGTCGCCTTCATGCGGGAGCGTAGCCAGCATATCTACATGTGATGCTGGATCAAAGCCGTCCGAAGCGAGCTTAGTGGAAGCTTGTTCCTGCTCAGCAGTTTTCACATTTTCGTATTCTTCCGGTACATCATGAAGATCTGTGTGGATGCCGACTATGGTGTTGGCAGTCTGACGAGTAGGGTAAAGGGTGAAATATCCTCGAAGCCGCGACAGCTGCAGCATGTATTCCAGCCACGCAGGGTGCTTTTTACCAACCTTCTTCTTAGCAAAAAGATCCGGCGTTGTGGATGAAGCATGCTGCTTCTCCAGCAGCTGTGATACGTAGCCATGAAGCTCTACCCACTTTTCGCCAAAAATGAGCATCGCTTCGCTACTGGGGGCCTGCCAAAGGAATGGCGTGCCCTCTACATCGGACTCCTCTCCCTGTAGCGCCTTTGGTGGTGTGAAAGGAGTAACATTGTCGAGATACGTCGTGGGTGCCGAGAGACTGATGCCTAAAAGTTTATTCTCCCAGTGTTGCCGGTTGGCAATGGTTGCGTATCGCCGCTGCAGGATCGAATATTTGACATCTTGCTCAAGTTAGCGTGGTAAAAATCAAGCAAAATTGGTAGAAGATCTTACAGTGAAAGAATTGGGATGTAATCTCAGTATGAGGCGATAGCACTATGACGTGAGAGTGAAATGGCTTGGCTGGCCAAAACGACTCCAAGAATCTGACAGCGCTCTCCTCTTCAGCCATCTTCTGTCGAGGAATGCGGCGGCGAAGCGACAGCAGCTTTGTTTTAGGAGCCACGCCGTGAACCTTTGGTGGCCATTCATAGCCGTTCAAGAAGTTGGTCAGGTCGTCTTCGACCACTGATGGGAGCTCGATAGTTAAATGAGGCGGAGAGACTCCAGCTAAATCCGCTCGAGCAAGAGACCTGAGTAAGCGTTTGAGGTTGCCTGTGCCATGCTGAGGGGCCTGTATAATAATATCAAAATTGACCTCATTCCAAGCTATGTCAACAAGAAGTCATTAGACTATGCGTGAGTCAAGGATAGGTGCTCAGCGAGTCGCCTTACCTGCTAAAGCAGAAGAATCAAGCTTAGATAACCATGAGAATCGCTGAGCCGTCTTCTCCGAGAGTTCGATCAACGTAGCTTCCGTGTCTCGGATCTTATCACCAATGCCGGAGAGAAAATAGCTTTCTTCAGTAGATGAAGAGTCGATGATGATTGCTTGCGGGTGCATGTAGAGGTTGATGTAATCTGACTCTCTGTTAGAACAAGACCAGCTACTCCACAAAGAATAGTGCAACGGGCCAGCTGATTAGCACTTACGCAAAGCTCGGGTTACAGAAAGGACCATTCGTGGCTCAGCTGCTGTTGTGGAATGGTCAGGGCGAGCATCTATGTGAACCAGTTACATCAGCATTTTCCCCTGTATCGTTGTTGTCTGAGTCTAGGCCTCAGAGTTGAGACAGAGTTCGTCGTACCGTGCATAACCAGGGGACATGACTTATCAATGCCGTTGATCGCCAGCAGCTCCTTGATGGAAATATCACTCCTGCTCATCAGGGCAAAATGCACATAGCTCTGACGCTCTGTGGCCATTTGACATGCCATTGGGAGAAGCAATGCAGCGCTTTTAAGGCTAGCCGCTGAGAATAAGACATTGCGATTGTGCTGCATCCTCCCCTGCGTTTCGAGCATGATGGCTTCCAATGAAGAGCCCAAATGTGGGAGCTTCAGTGGTCCGTTATACGGCTTGGATGGATCTGCTGCAGCTTTGGTTCCACTGCCGTCAGATTTGGCTTGAGGCTTTGGCGTCTTTGGCGTTTTGGGCGTTTTGATGATAGGAGGATCCTCCTCCATCCGCGGTTCATCATATCTGGGAGGAGGCCGCGGCTTCTCATACATTGGCATTAGATTCGCCGGATCAAGAGATGAAGCGCCCGCAGCTGGACCGATGACCCTGAACAGCCCGTAGGCCGTCAAGAAGAAGGCAATGGCGTATAGAATAAGCCGAAGCACAGAGGCCACGCCTAAAGATGCTTTAGGGGCAGGTTGCCAATGCTCAGCATGCTTGGAGTGTCGAGGCAAGCCGAGATCATCATCCTTTTTGCTGGCCTTTTCTTCGTCGTCGCGCCAAAGCTGCGACAAGGACCAGCCGCCGCGGGATGCGGAAGGAGGCATGGTATTGCCTTGTGCAGCTCGAGTTTGGCTGAGCAATGGTGAGCAATATTGAGTTGAGCAATGCGGTTTAGAATGTCTCAGCGCAGCTTACAAGGTTATATAGGGGCAAGGCAGGAGGTGAGGGGGAGGTGTAAATTCGGAACCAGCGGTTACATGGCGGTATCAATTCTGGCGCCGATTGTTCGTTCTTGTTGCTGTATTGAGAGCTTTGCAGCGATACGAATGGATGAAAGGTGAGTGAATGAGACGAAGCGAAATGGGTGTTGTGGCAGCTTGTGTCTCCATAAAAGGCTAATTTGGGAGCTCTCGTCGTTCTAATACGGGAATTCGACAGCGCTGCTGATTAGATAAGAGAAATCTACAGGCAGTATCCGCCGGTCCTATTAGCCGTGGCGCATGCATGCCTGATGCGGACAGACGCAGGAATGCTGAAGACACCAAAATGATGCTCAACATACAGGGCGCTGTCTTCTGGAGCCGCCTAAACTTATGGGGCGCTCGACCGCTAAATGGGCCATTGGAAGGCGCTGTGGCTAGCCTGAGAGATCTGCAATCTGCAAGCTGGAGGGGCAGTTTTTGTTCACGGTGGGGTACGAGCAGCGCCAACTGCAAGAGGAAAAAAAAAAAAACTTTGTAAACATACATTCAACCTCATCATCCAAGTTCATATCAACTTTCATACACTGCAGCGATTGATTCATTTCTACAACTCATTAACATCACAATTAAGCTTCTCATCAATCTCATTCACCACCGCATCGACATACATCATGGGCAAATCAAAGAAATCCAGAGCCGGTCACCGCAGCGATCCCGTTGCCAAAACCGTCAAGCCTCCTTCAGATCCTGAATTGGCCGCCCTCAGAGAGAGCAAGATTCTCCCCATCATCAACAACCTCAAAAGCGCCGACCCAAAGTCTCGTTCTACGGCCGCGTCTGTCATTTCCAGCATCATCCAGGACACCAAGTGCCGCAAATTGCTGCTCCGAGAGCAGATCGTCTACACGGTTCTCACACAGACTCTGACAGACGCCGCGCTTGAGAGCCGAGCCGCTGGATGGGGGATCTTGCAGGTGCTTGCTCAGGAGGAAGAGGCCGACTTTTGCGTTCATCTCTACCGACAGGATGTGCTGACGGCCATTGAATTCGCTTCAAAACTGGTGAGTTGAGACTCAATCATACAAGTGAGAGCATACCTTAACGCAAATCAACTAGATACAAGATAAGGTTCTCTCAAAAGAGGCTCCCTTTGCAAAACTACCCAAAGCGGAAAAGGGCTTTATTTCAAGCATTGCGGCGTCTCTCGTCTCACTACTAATGGCCCTGGCTGAGGCGGAAGAAGAGATTCTGGAATCAATCTCCAATAACAACCCCATCACTAGCCTACTCTTCTCGCTCATCACATATACCTCTCAGGACGATGAAGACCCTATATCAGCCATCCGTGGAGACGCCATGGCTTGTCTTATGGTTTTAACCGAGGACAACACGAACCTAGCAAAATACATCACAAGCACACCCGGCAGCATCGCTTGCTACGAGACACTGGTATCCCTAAAGGACGAGGTCAGCGGCGATGGCGTCTTGGCCTGCACCGTCCTTCACAACATTTACGCCTCTCTTCTCGAAGTGAAGAACCTATCGCCAAAGATCGATGTGGCTGACGACGCAGATCTGATCTCAACGCTCACCAAGGCCATGGCTGGCTTTGTTCCCGGCCAGAGCGAGGCCAACGGCAGCGGCTGGTCCAGCCCATCAGAGTTTCAGCAGCTGGCCCTGGAGACAATTGCATCCATTGGCACAAGTCTTGGTGTTGAAATGGGAGGCTCCGCTCAACTGTATACTAAGAAAGAGTTTGGAAGCGGTGCGGCCGCGGCTGGGAAGGAAAGCGGCGATGAGAAGGACGATGAAGATATGGACGAGGCTGATGATGATATTGGTGACGATATCGAGGGCGAAGACGGAGATGAGGAGGAGGGCGACGATGACGATGAAATGAATGAAGATGAGATTGAAGCCGACATGGACATTGTCACTGGCGTTGATCACGACGACGACAACATTGACGACCTCCCGACCCTCAAATCTCTCATCCAAATCGCCATTCCCGAGCTCATCCGCCTCGCCAGCCTCCAACCAACCGACGACCTCTCCCTCAAGATCCAAGGCCACGCCCTCTCCGCCCTCAACAACATCGCCTGGTCTGTCTCACTTATCGACTTCTCCGAAGACTCCAACAATGATGTGCTCGGCGCCTGGACCCCCGTCGCCCGCGCCCTCTGGCAGCAAGTCGTCTCCCCCATCCTCGCCTCCGACACCGCCGACGTCGATCTCGCCACGCAAGTCACCAGCATCGCCTGGGCCGTTGCCCGCGCCCTTCATGGCGAGACGCCCCTCCAGCCCAACGAGCACCGCAAGTTTGTGTCCCTCTACCAGGCCACCAAGGGAGCGCCTGCGCTGCAGGACCCCGAGGATCCCTTCCAGGCGCTTGGCGTCAAGTGCGTCGGTGTCCTTGGTCAGCTGGCGCTGAATCCAGCGCCCGTGGACCTTAACCGCGAGATCGGAACTTTCCTAGTTACTCTTGTTGCGGGCCTTCCTGGAACTCCTACTGCGGATGCTGTTGAGGCGTTCAATCAGGTTTTTGACATTTACGGAAACGAGGAGTATGCGTATGATGCAGAAGTTTTCTGGAGGAGCGACTTCTTGAAGCATCTTGAAGGAACAATGTCGAAGGCAAAGGCGATGGCCAAGAGCGTCAATAAGAGCCAGCAACCAGAGCTGAGAGACAGGGCAGACGAAGTTGTCATGAACTTGACGAGATTCTTGTCATATAAGAAGAAGCACAAGCCGGTGCAAATGACAGTAAGAGAGAGGAGTTAAGAGAGGGGAAAATCTTTGAGAGAGTAGATGTATATTTGTATTGGATATGATCACAAAGAAGATTGCGACAAGAAATAAATAGATCGCATAATACGCCATGAGATGGATAAAAATGATAGAGCTAAAACAATTGAAACTTTCAAATGCGCCTTTCCTTTAAACGTAAACCCATTCATCAACACCGCTCAAAAACCCTATAGAGTCCCTTCAAACTAGCCACCTCCAACACAGCTCCGTCCATGAGCCTCTTCGTCGCTACCAGCCGTGACCTAAACGCCGGAAAGAAGATGTGCTCGACAGCCCACCTGACGTGCTGCCTTCTCGTCCTCACTTCTTCGAGGGTCGCGTCGTCATCATCTCCGTGTTCTGCTTTATCTCCGCTTTCATCTTTTCCCTCGGGAGATGTGGGCAGTGCCTCCGGGACATAAAACGTTGCCAACTCAGTGATAAAAGTCTGAAAGCACTCTTTTTCATCGTCCCAGCTGACATGAGGTCCAAGACGGATGAGAAACCGTGGAAGCTTGCCCAGGGATGGCGTATAGCCTTTGACGAGGAGCGGGATGGATACCAACTCGCCTGTGGGGGTAATTTCGAGAGAAAAGTACGCTTGGAGCATTTCTCTTCGTTCAATGAGCCGATCCGCTACTTTTGCGACTAACGAGTCGACATTGAGTTCGTCGTCGGTGGCTCCCATGGCCTCCTTTTCGACTTCGGCCCCGATTTTGAGAATTTCTCGCAGGTCCAGAGGCGGGCTGAAATTGATAACGCCAAAGTTACCGAAATCCGTGAGGCCGAGCTGATAAAAGTACTCAAAGCACGTGTGCCCATAGTCTATCAAATACAGTTTTACGCCTCCCTGAATGGCAGCCAGTCGCCGTCCTTCGTCAACTACACCGACAAACGTGTGAGAAGCAATAATCTCCGTTAGCTCGTGGTGAATCTCGTCGCGAACTTGTTGGCGTAGTTCCTTGACACTCTTAAGGCGGCATTGTACCTGCTCACGATCCGTTGTTTCGTACTTGACTGGCTCTGGGATAGCCCATGCTTCATCTTCTAGAGCTCTAGCGGGAGAGCCAGTTTTGTCAACAGTTCCCGCCGGCGAAAACAAAGCCGTTATTTTCCCCTGAGATTTATCTGTTCGGATAAGGTCATTCGAGTTTCGCCGTATCTTTCTAAGAGCGGGCGTAGTAAACTTGGGAGTGGCATCGCTGTCATCTTCATCCAAAGACTCAACAGGTTTGGCTCCCGGTAGTAACGTCTGCGTCATAAATGTTCGACTCGTGTCCACAGTAGCGAGCTCCAACTCAATTTTCTGGCAGATAGCTTGGATCACCTCCTCTTCGTTGAGGAAATGAACCTCCCGCTTGGTAGGGTGAACATTGACATCTACCCTGGCCGGATCGATTTCCAGGCTAAGATAGATGAAAGGGTGGCCGCCCTTGGGCAGGAAGACGGAATATGTTTGTTCTAATGCCTTTTTCATGGTGGTTGATTCAACGCAACGGTGGTTGATAAACAAGAGCAATGTCGTCTTCTTGATGTGATAATTGGCATTTGTCACATACCCGTTGGCAGAGAAACCCCATCGGTCATCAGAAACAGATAGCTCTATGAGCTCATTGGCGACGTTGCTGCCATGGATCTGACGGATGCGGTCTATCACTGTTGCCTGCATTTGGACAGAGAGAGCGTTGGAGGCCTCGCCCGCTTTTTTGCAAGTAAAGCCAACACCTTTACAATGAATCGCATATCGGCCGGCCATGTCAATAATCTTGTTGAACTCGTCGGCATAGGATCGAAATGCCCTCCGACGAGTTGGCACATTGAAGAACAAATCTTCCACTGTAATTTGGGTGCCCTGACGCCCAGCAACTCCTTTGGGTTCGGCAGATTGCCCTGGCTTCGCAGGAACCAGCTTTCCATCCAGGTAATGCGCACGCCAAGCGATAGGCGAGTCCTTGGTCTTCGTCGTTACCGTAAGATGAGCAATGTGGCTAATACTGGCCAGGGCCTCGCCGCGGAATCCATAGGTGGCGATAGATGACAAGTCTTCAAACGTCGAGATTTTGGATGTTGTATGGCGCACACATAAAATTTCTAGGTCTTCTTTCTGTTGGACATTAAAGAAGGGGGGGTCAGCTGCTGTATGAACGAGCATTTGGGTGATAAAAGTCGAAATACCTCAATCCCGCCACCGTTATCTGTGATTTGAAGCATTTTCAGGCCCCCATCTTTAACCAGAATCTCAAGGGACGTTGAGCCTGCATCCACAGCATTTTCAACCAACTCTTTGAGCGCATGAACAGGAGCCACGATAATCTCGCCGGCGGCAATCTTGTTGACCACATCAGGGTCAAGAGCCTATTCACAACAGGCAAAGTTAGCCAACCAACAACTGTTTATATAAATATTGGAATCCTCTAGACTCTCAAATCCGGTCAAAGAAGACGAAGAGGGACATAACGTTGTACCCACCCTAATTCTTCGCGCAGGCTTCTGAGCCTCGTGTTCTTCCTCCGCCTTTCTCTTGGTCCCGCTCGGGGCGCTGTCAATTTCCATATTATCCATGACCGCTTTCAATTTGACAGTTCTCTCCAACTGAATGAGTAAATCACATCCGAGCAATTTCGTAACCTTTCATGCATGAACCATTGCAAATAACGCCAGTATCAGAGGAGAAGCCTGGGCAGAGCTACCCATATAAACGAAACAGATTTTCAACAGTAATTAGGGAAAAGACAAGACGAAGGTCGGGAGATCTCCATCTCATTCGTATCAATTCTTCTCGAGATTGAAGCGGTGGAAGCAACGTCGAGTTAGTACTTGGCTTACTACGCGAAGTTTCCACGTTTGCACGTGACTCGTAAGAGGTACCTTGCTTTTGTACACGAACGTCAAATCATGCTTCGAGAGGATCGATTAGTATCCAAAACAAGAGAAGACATGCCTGTTATAACGAAAGCCATGTACATTGAGCTATATTCCGATCAAATCTGATCTGTGGGACATTGTAGCCTTTTGCCTCCTTCTGCATTGCTGCAAATTTTAGATTCTTGCCGGAATAGAAGTTCTTGTATCAACACCGTACTGTAATATGCGCTGTACTATGAGCGCTAACAGATATCAGGAGATTTCAGACAGATGCATACTTGATATAACAAGGAAACTGCTAACAAATACATTGTTCGTACTAATAAATAACCACCAGGCTATAGTTGTAAGCCAAAATCAGCCCTCCCTGCCACATATTAGACCTATTCAATGCGTGACAAAAACGAATCCACCCCAGTGTCTATGCCTTGATCCTCGCAGCTGGCATGACCATACATGTATGCCGCCTAACCATCTCTTTGTTGCCCTAGCCCAAGATTTGCAAAGCTTTCCCAAATGCTATTGCAACTAACGTCAAAAAAAGTAGAAAAAAAAAATGGCTCTTGCTTAAATAAACTCCATATAGCCCAAATAAGCCCAAATAACAATCAAAAGACATAGCGCTACGCTTAATCATTCAGTTCAGTGTTTCCTCTCCAAAAATCACCGCTTCCAATCCGCCGCCCCCTTTTGCCGTTGTGCCTGAAAGAAATATAGGGGAAACAGAGACGAAACGTCAACAAAAAGGAAATAAGGAAGAGGCCAAGAACAAAGAAAATAGAAAAAAAAGAGAGAATCAGTCGCATGAGCTTTTTGCAGGCGGGCAGTTACCCCGTACTTCGCTGATAAGATTGCAAACATTGAAGTTCATCCACGAATCAGTGATACAGGACAAGATCAGAATAATAACATCGCTGAGTTCGTTTGGAATTTCAAAATTCTGTTTTCAGATATTTGAAATGAAAACCAAACAATCAGCTCGAAGCGCCGGCGCTGATGATCAAATTGTCAAACAAGAGTAATATGCAAGATGGCCCTGCTCAGTGGACATGCACTCCGTTGTCTGACGTGTATGTGGTTCTGTCGAGATGTTGGGACAACTGACTCGCTCCTAAGAGTCGAGTCTATGTGTCGAACAGTCAAACAGAGCTAACGCCTATTGATATCGCCGGGTTGCTCTAGTAAGCCGCCAATGTCAACCCGTCTTGGTCGATCAGCATTGGACCAGTTGACTTCTCGAGAAGAGGGTCTGTGATCTGTCTCCGCACGAATTGGAGGCAGCTGATAAGAGGGCTGAGTTTGAGGTTGACTGGCAGGAATATATTCGCTTTGGGATGTCTGATAACTTGACGCAGAGTATTGTGGCGGAGTATAAGATGGGGCTCCCGAGCTGGAATTAGCGTGCGAAACAGCTGGATTATATGGCGATCGAATGGAACCGTCACTATGGCGATGTCGGTAAGACTCGGCCGAAGAAGAAGCTGGTTGATCACCGTAAGCCGCTTGGTGCGATACTGATGAACGATGATAGGATGAGCTAGACTCTCGAGCACGCTGCAGACGCTGCGAGCGCTGCACATTTTGAGCATGCTGCGCCTGTTGAGATTGCTGAGCGTGTTGTGATTGCTGAGCGTGTTGTGATTGCTGAGAATGTTGCGCATGCGGGTGCGAAGATCCTGGCGGAGGGAGCTGTGGGTGAAGCTCTCGCAGGCTCAATAAAAACACAATAAAATAGAATGATCCCTCTTTTGCAAGCCCAAAGCGGAGAGGGAATGTTCTAGTATAGCCGTCGTATCCAACAAAACCAAAATGTTCCAGATGATTGAGGCGAAATCTTGACACGTCTTCGGTCATGAATCCATAGTCCTTGATAGCAATATCCAATCTGCCTAGAATAGGTGGCAGGTAATTCGGCTCGAAAGTTCGCTGTTCCTCAAACAGTTGGTTTTGAAGGTTGGTGAGGAAAGCAGCCTGATGCGGCGTAACAATATCGCTCAGCTTATTTCCCAATGGGTTCGACGCGTGGACTATTTCCATAAACATTGGCGATGCCTTCACGATATCAAAATCCATGCTCAAGTATGCTAGAGGCTCCATATTATTCGGTGGTGAGCCTTCATAAGTTGCGGTGTAAAGGTTCGGATCCTGGGCAGGAGGTCGCTCTTGGTATGCTACACGCGGGCCATTCTCGGTTGATGGAGGATCGAGTGGTCTGTAGGACTGATTTCGTCGGAGGGAGTCTTCGTATGGGGGGATACCAGGCATCGTCGAGGGATATATACTGAGTGGCCTTCTCAGCGTCGGCTCTTGTGGATTCGAATATCTAGACGGATCGAATCTACCATCCCTTTCGTCTCGCAAACGTGGGCGTCCTCTTTTTTTATGCTGAACATCGACACAAGCGTCTTCTTTTCCGCTGCCAAGGCATCTGGAGCAGGGTCGTTGTGCTGTAAACCAGTTAGCTCAGAAGTTTCGTTTCATGTTATTTCCTTCATCCAGAGCCTTTCCTCCCAGCCAACGGTAAAAGCCGGAAGAGCTTGTAGATCTAATGAACACGCCTCTTCCACCAGAGGCCATTGAAAGCTTCAGTTGGCTCGCATATGCGGCGACAAAAGCGGTCCAGCAGCCGGCACCACCTGTGCAGTTTCTTTCTCGTATAGGAAAACTCAAAAGTCAACGTACCATCGCATCTAAAACAAGACGGTGTCAGCGGTCAGCACAGTCAAAACGATATGCTCATTGACGCATATTTCAAACGTTCTCTACTTACCGAAGATGAGCTTTTTTGCAAGGTACGCAAGCAGAAGCAACATGGCCTTTCGCTTTCCTCTGAGATTTCGGTGATGTATACGGCTGAGGGTCAGTTTGCGGTCGATCAGGCACGGGGTAGCCTTCCGAATTCGAGGGCGTCGAAGTTGGATACGCCGTTTGAGATATCGCTTGAGGCATTCCATGGTGGTGCTGAGAAACATAGGGGATAATCCTCCCCGATTCTTCAGGCCTGGGGTATGCATATGGAGACCTCATTGCTGGTTCTTGTGCATACGGCCTCGCCAGTGATGAGGCTTGCTCGCGAAGATTTGCAGGAGACGGTTGGGTGGGACCTCCACGAAGGCCATCCAGAACTCTGGAGGCAGTGTAATAGCCCGGAACTTCACTACCTCGACTACCAGCCTCTTGAGCTGGTCTCAGAGGCAAGGGTGGAGAACCGGACATAGGAGGTGAGGGATATGCCCTGCTCCGCACAGCCGACTCCTCTTGGTAGGCCTCTTTCCGAGCCCAACTGACGTCGAAGGCGCTGCGAGTTGGATCAGGGTAAGCTTGGCGATGCCCAGGCACGAGGGGCGGCGTTGGATTAGAAGAATGTGTTATAAATGTCATGGATGGAATATTCCGTGAAAATCTTTCCAAGGAGCCGCCAACAGCACCCTGTCCTAATTGATGGGAAGTTTAACTTTTTGTTGATGCAAAGAGGACAATTCGAACCGTAAACCCTTTGACCTAAGATGTTCTAATGAGCCACTCCCGAACGTATAATCTCCTGAGTCCGCATATATTTTCGACGGGCAAATTAAGAGTAGCTCGCTTTCGGAAGCAAAAATCGGCAGCGAATCGCTATTTGAGCTTAGGTGTCGAAAGACGGAAGAGGGGAAAATCCCGTCCTTTTGTCAACGACGAAAGCCGGAAGAAATCAAGGGACTGTATATTGGAAAGGTCGATATCCAGGTATCTGTTGTCCAGTATAGAGCGAAGTATAAACGGCTAAAAGAAAGGAAAGGAAAGGAAAAGAAAAACCAATTCGGCGGCTGGTGTACAGAGGATGAGAAAGTCAAAAATAGATAAAGTAAAAAAAATAGATAAATAAACAAGAGCCGGACGCAGGGAACGCTCACGAGCCAGAGAGGCCAACTAACGGGCTCGAAACCAGAATGGAACCAAAAGATCCAGCTAGGCGGAGAGCAACCGACGTGAAACAGGCGCCGCTGGAACAGTGTGATACCTGGAAGTCCAGAGATATTAGAACGCTTCGTGATACAGCATGCGGCCGTGTCGTCGGTGGTTATCGAGATGCAACGGCAGCCCGCAGCAAAATCGTAAAGTTTCACGACTTGAGTGACGGGTTCTGGCGAAGCTGAAGCTGCTGAAGCTGCTGAACCCGACAAAGTCGCTGGCTCGAACGACTGAGTCAGAAGAAAAGCACGACGGGATCAGCCTCAAATGGCTGATTGGCGGCTTACAGTCGGTTTTTGTGCGACTCTTGGGCCTAGTCCAAGGGACCCTGTTGCCAGATGCAAGGCAGTCGGCCAAAGACAATAGGGTTACTCGCCGAAAAGCCTGCAAGCACAAAGAGCTACTTGTACAGAGTAAGTAGGCAGCCCAGCACGTAGTCAAGTAGTGTTGAGAAATCGGGGAACCCACGGACCGAGTTCCTGGTCTAATAATGTTCTTATTGCAGCGGGTTAAATCAGAGACGACAGGACATGGCTTGTTCCAGGACGATCCCTGCCCGGTCAATCCTATCTGACAATTCTCCGCTGGCTTGTCTCGAGAGGGGAGAGGCGGCCGCCGTGCGTGTGAGATTTCACAAGCGCAATAAGACACTGGAGACGGCTATGATTGGGGCGAACTGGGAAGGGAAAGGCGGGAAACCAGAAGAAAGCTGTGGAGGTTGGGTGTGGAGGGGGGGTGTATTGTATCTTGTCTGTCTCGTGGAGGTGTGCTGGCTGGGGTGAGAGCTCGGCAGCAAACAAAGGATTGCTGGTACCGTACGAAGTAGGCAAGGAAGGCTTAGACGGTAGCCACAGAAATGGACGGTAAAGAGACGGTGATGGAGAGGCACCATGGGCGTAGGAAGATGTGATACAGCTGAAGGAGACTAAAACCCGGAGCTCTCAGCCGGGAGGCGACAAACTGGAGTTGGCTGGGTGATATCTCTCCCCTACCATATGTATATGTTGGTCCGAGGGACGATTTGTAGAGGGTTGTCATTTAACTCTGTTCCCCGACCAAAATTAAGATGCCGGGATAGTCTTGGCGTTCTAAAAATGCATCTAGCATGTAGTCTATGTGCACATAGCGACCAAGTTTTGGTACTCGAATTATATGCTACCACAGGCAGTGAAAACGATCAAGGGTGAGCGACTTTTGCCATGCCTGATAAGTCAACGAACGGCCAAGGTGATGATCGAATCGGCAACGACGGGCAGAGCAAGATAGGGCTAGAAAGAGTTTGGTGCTCTTGGTATATGTAGAAGGCCTAGACGATGTCTGGCGCCGGCCCAAGCGCATGTAGGGAGTAGGTACCTGGTGGTACTGGCGCGAGACACAAAAGCAAAGGCTTGCGAGTGAGCGATGATAGCAGTGGAGATGCTGCTGCCTCCTCTTCCCTAGAGCTTTCAAGGTTGGCACACTGGTTCTCGTACATCCATGGCTCGCATTTGCCCTGAGAGACTAGGAGCTTACATGGGAGTCGGGGAAGCTAGCAGACCTGGGATTAGCAATCCTAGCAAGCTTTGCAAGCAATAGCGTGTGGAAGTTGGCTAAATAGCAAGGCCTTGGTGACGGATCGGAGAGATGGCTTCATGATCACAGATGGACCACGGAATGGCCACCACGGATCAGGTCCACGAACCTTGGGAGGCTGGGCTACCGAAGAGGGTGTTCCCAGGGCGCCTCTGCTTAAGCGGGCCGGCGCTGAGTGCTAGATTTCTACGAAGCGCCACATATCCGGCTAAAACATTCAAAGTGGCATCATGGAGCCATGGTGGGGATGACACGAGCTGGACGCTTAATTAGGGACCGTGCCGGACCCTGCGCCCAGGCCCTGCTTGCCAAATATGGCTACCAAGTCCAGCGCCCTCTCCATCTTCCAGTTGGTGCCCAGACCTGTGGATTGGACCCGACTTTGTCGACAAGGCTGGGTTGAGTTCTTGGGATACGGCATGGGTCCTCCGAAAGAGTCTTCATCCAATCACCCAGGCGCTGTACGCATGGGCATGGGGGCACGCGAGGACGGGATTCAGGTCGGAAGCCGAGTGAGTTAGTAGTTGTACAAATAGCTTGCTGGCAGTCTATCAAAGACTTTGCAAGCTCCTATCTCGAGGTTAGATGGAGGTTAAAGTGGCAATACTCGGCGACCAAGAATCCCGGCGCCCAATTACTACTACCATTGTAGAGAAGGGCGTGATGGTGGTGTAGGTATAGTTTTGTCGTTGACTGCAAGGTGTCCAATAAGACAGGAACTGGAAGAATAACAATGCTGTAGAAACAGCAAAGGTCCGCCGCATTGCGCAGAGAAAGCGTGGCTTTGTGGCTTCGAAACATTGGGGATCTAAAACATACAGACAGATCCCCCTGCCTACTCTGACACTAGCCAGCATTTTGCTCGTCGTCATCTGACAGCAAGACAGTCAAAGCGTGAGCCCATCACTTTTGTCAAGGCACCAGAGAACTTGAGGCCAGACAAGGTCGGCGACACCGATCCCACTCTGAATCCGTCCGTGCGGGCTGCAGGATTCTATGCACTCCGCCGGCAGTAGGAATATACCGACTGTGTTCCGATGTGCCCATACGCTTGAAGATCCGCAGTTGTACTAGCATAAGAGTAAACCTTGTCGCAACGGAAAAAAAACCGAATGGCAAAGTTAGCCCCCAAGTGGCTTCAGGCACAGATTCTTGTAGGCATTGCTGCACTCCTTGCTGAGATGTGAGCTGAATGCCTTCCAACCCGGATGACGTTTTGTGGCGGCCTGTCATTGGGGTCGGTGGGTCGCTTTTTCTCATCCCATTTTGTGTCACTCAATAATGCCTTTAGGCTTCCAGCTTAGCAATGTGACTGCAATGGCTGGGACGCGGTTGAGCAAGGTACTGTGTACGAACGAGATCATTGGTATAAGACAGTCTAGCCCTTATATTCTCATCGAATCCTGGAGATGAAACGAGGTCTCACCCAAAGCCAGCCCGAGGCTCAGCCCGAGGCTCAGCCCGACCCTTTTCCAAAGCTCCGTGGTATTAAAGATCCGACTGAGTGCTCCGAGGCTGCAGAAGATGATGGGAGATGAACGGGCCAGCCTGCGGTCCGCGGGCATTTTGAGAGGCGTGTCATTTAGCGTATGGAGCGGCGCCTCCCCTTGTCAAAGCGTGGCAGCTTGCCGGCTGGTATGACCCAAAGATTTCCGATATTAGTTTCTCCATCACGTCAAAAAGTAGCTCGTGCCTGGGAACGCAACGGGTACTTGGCGGGTACCGGTACCGGCACAGATCCAACCACAGTACCTTTGTCGAGCCTGCAGCTCTGCTTGTACCAATTGTCAGGCCGGTCGTGGGCGAAAGGCCTAAAACATCTTCCGGTGCCTTACTAGACCGAAAAGTAAGAAACTGCTGTCGCTTCAGTCAGGCACTTCGTATTGCTCCCTACCAAAAGCACGGTCATCGATACGTGAGCAGACCTAAGATTAGCATGGATTGATTCAAGCCCGCTCGCTTGCTCGAACCAATGCAGCACCCTAGTACCCGATATGTACTGTACAAGCATACACGTACAAGTATTTGCGGTTTGACGCAGCGGCTGAAGGGGAGAGAAAGATGATGGTAGCACTAGACAATTGACCCTGGCTAGGTTTCAGAGCCTCAGTAAGAATCCACACACCAGTTGCCTCGTACGTAAGGTGATCATCGAGAGCCCTGATCTGAACTCGTCGGAAGTGTGTACCAATACTTCATGCAGTAAGAGCACACATGAAGCGGCGTTTTCATCGTACGAGTCTCTCCAGCGATCGTTGAGGCATCTCGCTATCCTCGAGATTCCCGAGGGGAGACAATAATTCTGGCGCCGCAGAAGCGCACAGGTGCTAGAAAATCAGCCACATGTCAATTATCATTTATGAAGACGCAAGCTTTGCGCCGGGCTTCCCTCCTAGAGCGGATTGGCGCTCTGCGAGCATCGCCGACCAAATACCTCAGCGCTATTGAAAGAAACCCCTGACACAGAGAGTAAAGAGGGCTTGCTAGTAGCAGTAAGACCTTCTCTTGGTAAATTGCATTACGGGCTGGGTGCTCTGCACGAACAGCCGGAGCGTACAAGCAGGTATATTACTTGTAGAGTACCCGTGCAGCTGTGTGACGTGCTATCCCGAAACCAGATATTGACACATGATGCTAATAATTCACCCGACGGAGAGATCCTTGTTCCCGCCCCTCCAATTAGCGAAGAGGACACAAGTACCAGTGCGAACTCAGCTTCTCTTATTGGTGGTATCTTGGTTGGGGATAGATATCACCCTGTACTCTTACTGTACTTGAAGTCGATGCATCGTCGCCTGGATATGCTCACTAGGGCCTTTGTTATAGTAGTCGTCACTATGCGTAGGTAGGTTAGCAAAAGACATCATGTTTCTTCTCCGGGAGCTGCTTAGTCACGATATACATATTCCCACTTTCTAGCTTTGGATCTTGAGGATCATCTCCCTTTTTAGCAAAGATCAGAGGGCTGGGGCCAAGCCGTCTGAAGACAGCTTCTGAGGTGAGGGACGCCTGTAGCTTGCTGAGGAACAAGACCCGCTTTGATGCGGTCTTTGATGCTTCAATGCCAGTCAGGCGCCCATTCCTCCCAAAATACTACAAGCTGCATAAACCCTTGCAGTCCGAACCTGCTAGTAACGCGGTCATTGACCCAATCTGACCCAATGACTCGGCTCCGGTTTAGTCGCGATGTAATCTAGTCGTCCACTAGGATGAGGCTGCCCGCTTTGTTCTTATCTGAGACAGCAACCGGGAGAATGAACAAAGGCCGTGCAGAATTCTTCCGGGCCAGTTCTTTGGTATCGGTGGTTTTTGTACCAAATCTGTGCTTTATCTCTTTTCGATCGACATCTCCTAATCAGTCCTCAGTACTACCTTGGGGTTACGTGAGGACGATTCCATCGGAGCACCCTTGACACTGACGCTGATATTGTTTGTCCTTTCTAGGTAGCCAGCTCAGCGTCGTTGTTATCCGTCGTCGTCCTTCATTTTCTTATACTTGTAGTTATTTGCTTCTTCCATAGAGGCTCTGGGTCCCTTTCCCTTTTTCTCCACGTCGTCTCACTTACGCCAGTAGTACAATGAAGATACCATTGATTGCTCCGCATTTCTTGCTCGGTCTCCCTTCCGGATGCGTCATCTATGCGAAAGAAGGCCCAAACGGAACGATGATCTATGCATGGCTAAATCCCCCGACCCGACGACGCGTTAGTTGCTAGTCATACCACTCCGTACCTAGTCGTCCTGCTGCTAGTGTTAGTTGGTGCCCATTCACGGCTCTCGCTTCGTAGCCCCTGGTTTCCATTTAGCCAGCGCGGCCTAGGAGCCGGCCCACGACTAGCAGCTTTAACATGTGCGCTAACGGCAATTAAATGTCACAGAGTAGACACAAAGCCCAGAGATAGAGAACATCGACACTGGAGTGATAGGAATGGGCGGCATGCCTCATTGCACCTGGTGGGGAGGCTTTCTGTTCGCTTTCCGTTCAAGATCATCGAGGATATAATCTTAAGGAGCAATTTTATTTAATGACGACTTCTAATGCGGCACCGATGGTGTTGTTTGTGCCCAAAGCAAAAACTCTGCGTCGTGATGCAGTTGGGTTTCTCCTCTTATTTCGTCTTGTTCTCACGACCTAAATTCGTATTTGCAGTGGTGAGTGCGTTGCTCCTTTCTCGTCTCATCTTATTGGGCGAATATTGTCTCCCCGGTCCACAGCTGTCGTGGGGAGCCGAATCATCTCTCGACGAGCCCGGAAATGGGCATGCCATGCTACCAATATCCCAATACTGTCAGCCAGAGCTCATGCTGTACAGAGTCTTAGGATCCCAAGCGTGGTAGTGTGATAGAAATCAAGGCGCAAGAATTTTGCAATAGCATACCATAAGCACTTCTTTTCACCCGGACCCTGATGAGTTAGCTCTAGGTCATATAACGACTAGCTCCTACGGCGCGAAAGACCGAGAGGCTGTCTAGTAGTCAAACTAGTAGGTAGTAGGATGACGCCTGCATGTAAAGGTACTACTACTACTCCAGAATAGAGTGAGGGGAGTAGATACCTAGTACTTTCTGTAGTATTGCCATCGTTGTTCCATAAGGTAGCTGTAGCCATGGTACTCCGTAGACTAGAACACTTCCTTGTGAAGAGCAGATGTGAGAAGCCTGGTTGCTTTAGGCACTTGCACATGGCTGGCACCCTGGTGCCCGATGCAGTAGGTACGGAGTACTCCGTACAAGGAGTCGCAAAGTATGTAGCATTCGAAGCGCAAAACCTGATAGTGATGCAAACCCTGGGACGAGCACATGGCGTTAGGTCTAGAAATCCCCGAGCAAGGAACCCCCCTTAATAACGAACCACACTCGACCCAAGTGCTGTACGAGCACACGCTGATTCAAGGAAGGACTGGACCTGTACGCAATACCACCTCGCTAATACGAAGTCCTGGACTCCTGGTGCAGGGACGGAGTACGGAATCTGTGCACTGCCTACTCCTAACAGGTACTCGCACCATGCATCTCGCCCATTTGAAGGCATGAACCCTTAGCTGCAGACAGCTAGGACATTATATTCTGGTGGTGACAAGTGGCGGCGTCGCGGACCTTTAGCTGCATTCTGTCAGCACGTTATTGATTCTCCAGCCTTGGGCAGGCAAACCCAAGTGCCTTGGCACTCACATGCTCTGCACCAGATTGCAAAATGCGGCCTGAGCGGCCTGGGCAGCCAAGAGCCCATTCTTTGATGCTGGGCATGGCGATCGTAATGGCAGCGACAAGCTGAGAGCAGGGCATGGAGTCTGCCGTGTCTCCAGAGCAGGTCGAATGTCGCCGGAAACCCAGCATTGGCCGCGGGAAATTATTTTAACCGAGCGCAAGGTCTGGTGATGGCAAATCGCTTCCTTCATTCCTGCCGTTGGGCGCTCGAAGCAAGGCACTGGTAGGTATAGTACTGTACGAAGCGGGGACCACGTACTGTACTGCCACCAGCTTTTGGCACCAATTTGCAACTCCGGGCTCTTTTTGCGACCTACCTTAATTCACCACCCACCAGGTGGCGTGCGCTTGGCCTTTTCCCCTCCAACGTTCCAATCGAAATTCTCCGTAACGCCCTCATCTACTCCGTGCATTATGGAGCAATGCCCCATATCGCCCGCTGCACAGGCATAAAAAACTCGCAACCGAATCAACAGTCACCACAATCGCATGCCTGTCACCTGCTCGGCAGCCGTTCCGCAAGGAGCGAAAAACGATCAGCGCCGAACCCTGGACTCGTCTCTTTGCCAGCTTGGAGGCTTTGTCTTGGTACGTTTGTGTTCGTACGCGGCACTGAATTTTACAAGAGGAGCGGTCATCTTCTAAATACAGACCAAACCAACAGCTTCAACCCTCCTCCGCCAGATCTAGTAGGTGACATCCCACTGCCATGGTGGGCACTTGGCCACTAGTCAGACCATGGGCTTTCAGAGGGCCTGCTACTCGCTACTTTGCGGTATCGTGAGGATAGCAGTCATTAGGAACTGATCACGCATCGTCCAAAGCAACGGGAAGCTCCCAGGATTCAGCCGGGCACCTGTGCTTCGAAGGGCCCAGGCCATCTGCTTTTCCCGTGGCCTTGACGGCGCACCCCCGCCGGGCTCCATTTCGTTCTGATGGCCGCAGGACTATTGAGGAGCTAAATTTCCGGGGGGGAGGGGGCAGGGGTGCGTCCTCGTGTGAATCTGGGGGAATGGCACAGAAATTTCTCAGACGCACTCATACCGATATCAGAGGTGAAAAGAGCTCGCACCTGAGGCATCTTTCCACAGCGAAAACGACCAAAAGGGGTGTAGGTTCAAAACCCCCCACGCAGCAAGAACAAAAAGAAACCCCCTCTCAAGCATTCCCAGTATCTTCAAGATGCTAAAACCTTGCGTTCTCAGCAAGGGTTCTCATGCATCTAGACTTGTTCCGGTAGGAAGGCGCAGATTTCGGCTAGCGAGCCTTAGGTTGTGAATCCAGATGGAACCAAATTACAAAGTCCGAAATGGTACAGTTTCATTTGCTCCGTGTTGGACGGGATATTTGGGCTCCCGGTCATGGGCCTGCATGCATGTAGTACCTACTCAGTACAGAGTACACGTGCATATTCTCATACAGCCCCAGGCCACCAACAAATTGAATCTTCCTGCGGGATAATATCCTCAGTACCTAGTGACAGCCCTTGAATTCATCCGGCTATGCGATAGCAAGAAACGGACGGCAAGGCCAAGCATAAGAAAAGAAACAATTATCTCGTCAACAGTTCGTACCCAATATGAACAGTGCAGCAAATACCACCTACCATGTAGTGGGTATACTTGTCTATCTATGAGGGGCTAATAATACGATCGCCAGTTGTTCCGAGTATCATCCCGGGGAGGCTCGGCGACCAATGAACGCCACGTCTAGAAGAGCTTCTCCTTGTTTTTACCACAGCGAAACAAAGCATGGCCAAGCAAGATAAGCAACAACCGGAAACGGGAATCTCAAAGCGAAGTGCCCCTAGTGGCCATTGCCACTAATCCGTAGTCGGCAAGGAAACCAGACGGAAATTTTCTGACAAGCGTCTATTATTCTATCACATCTCGTCGATGTGAGTGGGGGTTGAGTGAAGGCTGCGAAGCCCCGTCCGGCGAGCCCACCGTGACATTCTCCTACATTACTCAATCTTACATACATGCAGTGAACGAACCTACGCCAAGTACCAAATACAGGCTTGGCGAAATGTACTGTCTTGTCGCGGGCTCTTCTCCCCTGTGCACTTTTGGCTCATATTTGAGTTCTTTTTCCTCTATCTTAGCTACTACCAGGTGGGCTATGTTGTGTCGTCTTGCTGATAGCGTCTCATCAGCGTGTTCAGATCATCTTTTTATTGTATATCAGAAGTTGCTACAAGCGTGTCGCTCTCGGAGCCTAGCTGCTCAATCGGATCGAGGTATCAAAAGTCTTCTAATTTACCATGGCATCCACACCAGCTACATTGCTAGTGCCATACCACAGCTCGTACTCCGAGAAGCTAACAAGCACTTCATACCATGCATGTGCCTCGCCGATGAGACTAGAGGAGTAGAATTAGCACGCGCATTCCGCACTGGAAGGGTCTGGACTGAGCTGTTAGTTTCCCGGATGTGTGGCAGCCGCCAACACTAGGGTGGCCCGGGCAGAATGATATGTCCCTCAGCACCAAATTTGACTACACATGAGCTAAGGAACAATCCCAGTCTTTGTTTGGTGATCGTATTCTATAGCCGCAAGATAGGCGGATGCAGTGCAAAAGGTCCGCGCGAGTTTGAGGAGGCGAGTTGAACCCCCAATCTCCACGTCGTGTTTACTATGAGAGCACAAACTCCTTAATGGCAACACTGGGGCTGTCTCTGAAATAGAACGAAGCTCGTTCGTCAAGACCATGTGCTGAGATAGCCCCTTGTCGACAGGCTTTCCAATTTCTCCATTGCCGATTGATAGTATCCCGTACTGCTGCTCTGTACTATGATCGGCACCCCTGCGACAGTTCAGTTCACCAGGGATTCTAAGCAGTAGCTCTCCAAGTCCTACGATGTACGAATGATAACCCTGTTGCTTGGACAAGCCCTGCTGTCTGCGGCAACTACATAGGTTGATTAATGTCCCGCCTCTGACTTGCGGGCTAAAGCTCCTGCCCGAACGGCCGATATATTACTATTTCTTACTGTATCTAACAAGCATGATGACGACTTGGTGTTAATCTGTTAGGTCGGGCGTTCACCTACTTGATTTAGTATTCTCAGTATAGCTATAGTAGGGGCACGAAGGTTCACGGCGTAAAAGCACAGGCTGCGTGTGTCGTGGCGTCAGCCCAGGCAAAGCCGGATGCAATTTTCGGGCAGGTAATTGAGACCTTTGACTCCCAGGAGACCCTATATGCGAATTAGCCAGGGAATTGTTTGTACGTCCATCGTCCATCTCAGCTTCGCCTCCATGCTATTGGATCGGATGCTCAGCTATCGGAACAAAAAGCATTCAAGGAGGTGAGCCCAGCATACGACTGGTTAGAATACGCCGCCATTGGCTGACCCCCCGAAAACGCAGCCTGCATTTACGGCGTACTCTATTGCTGTTTGTGGTCCTAAGCGTCCACGAGAAGAAATGCGCCGACGAATCGCCACGTATACAAAGATGCGTCGAATTATGCAGGGGAGTCTAAGCAAGCAGGTGACAGAAGAAATGCTAGTAATTCAAACAGAGCACGCAAGCCAATAGCCAAAGCGTGCCGCCGGGCATTCCGCAGCCAGCTCATCTTCCACCAAGAAGGCAAATTTGGCCCTCGTGTCAGGCCAGCATGGCCGGTCTACTCATCATGTTCCATCCATGCTCAGCTGAACCTCTGACAGTCGCGTACAAACATCGTGCACGCACACACATTATGCCACCAAGGGCAGTTAAACACCGCAGGCGTGTGCCAGCCTCGCGTGTGTGTGTCTCATCTGTCTCATCCAAGAGCTGAGCTGCAAGGATAACACTGGCACAGTTCGACATCTATTTGATCCAGTTGACTCAGTACAGCTGCTTGTTGGCTGAAAACGTGGATAGTATATCAAAGCCAGGAACGAGCTTCGCCTACGTTGAAGAGGGCGCTGTACAGAGTACCTAGTGTAAACCAGAGATACATGCTCCATTCCCTCGCCTTCAGCTTCATCTTTATTTCCCCCCTTACTTACTCTTTGCCCTTCATCCCTCCTTGTCTCACTGTGAATCGTTAGACGTAGGAATAGAAGTCACCTTGTACTGCATGTCTTACTCTGACGCTACTACGTCCATGTGTTGTTTTTTTAAAGCGCCGCAGCACATGGTCTATGGAGATGTATACAGGTAGGTATACTGCGACCACGTCGAAATCTCGCCCCCTAGGCGTGCGATTATCTTGTTCCGTCATTTATCTATTTCTTTTT